GAACGTCTTGTTATATACAATTGCATGATCATCTATATGAAATCTTACTTCGAATGCGTGTCATATTTCGATATATGCATGGATCAATAGAGAGCTACAGTTTAGCCAGGCAAACACACTCAAGGAAAAAAAACTTTAAATCGAGCCAACCGTGATACGAATTCTGTTGATGATTTCATCGATAAGCCTGATTTCAATGCTGGGAGGGAAATAATTGCAAGCGCGCCTAATAAAGTATGCCCAGTCATGACTTGCCTTATATAATAGCTAATGTTTCGTATAGTCTCATACCTTGACTTCTCCATATAGATGTTAATATCCAGCAAATATTTGGTTTAGTCTTCGCGAAATTACTGGTAAAGATCTTTACCCGAGCGCTCATATACGCATAAACAGTTGATAGGCGCCATTTCAAATTTGTTCATTTTGCCGCTCTAGCTGGCAGGCTTCAAGGTGCAATGACCATGCATAATTGCAATTTAATATCCGGAATGTAATTTCCTAATAAAGGAGCCCAAATCAAAATTAGTGAATATTTTCCTGTTGCCCAAGCAGCTGATATGTTGTCCAAGCAAGATAAATTCTAATGTTCGTTTTCTGATGAAGTATGGCGAAATATATATAAGCGAAATATCCGAAAGGTCAAACTTAAATGTTTGTACACGTTAGCTTGGCAACTTGCCCTTGGGCTTGGGCCAGTTGTGCGCAAGGCTGCACGCACTTGGTTAAAACATAGCGCTAAACTCAATCTCACAAAACACGGAATTTGTAGACGGCGTCTTTGATGGTTTATGCTAGTTTAATATCAACAAAACTTAAATGGTATAATATAGATCATAATTTCTGTTTTGTTATATTTTTCACACGGGCCACAGCTCTAATTATGTTGACCAGATGATATTTTGTGCATTATCAAAGCCTATAGGCTAAATTTCCCTGAGCAATATTATGATGTTCATTGTACGACACTCTTGTTTTTTTATTGTAATAAACAATGTCACACAATGAACATCATTGATATAGCTTCATTACTTTCATACAGTCTCTATGATTTGTACGATTTGAGACTTTTCCGCGTTCCACGTTTCCGATTCGAGGAGCTAGTCGAGAGAAATCAAATCACAACCAAAATATAGCTACATGCATGGGGAGTGAATTGTGCTGAAATGTGCATTTATATATCAACATATATGAAGTAATTTTTTTGTGAATTAAGAGTCTAAATAAACATTTACAATGCATGAGTTATATTTATGCCATAAGTTATATTTATGCCAATTGATACCTTTCAACATGCCAGCAACAATCGAGCCAGATGGCTTAGATCTGGTGAGACAAATATACCCTTTTAAGGAAATAAGACAATTTTGCAAGCGGGGCACTGCTCCAGTTTTAGACTAGATGCACGCGTCATATTTAAATTGCTTGGATATTCATGCAGTGGCATAACGAACAGAGGATGGGGTCTTGAGATATACTTGGTACTGCCGGGTCCCTTAATTCGCTGTTTGTCATTGATCACGTTTTGCTCATATACTATGATGTTTCGTTATCTATTCTGGCCACCAATAACTGGGGAACTTTATTTTAGTTCTTGTCCTAACCCTACCGAACGCGCGTTAGGTCACTGTATTTATGTCTTCAAATATTAGCTAGGGTATTTCAATTGTGTATATAATTTGCATGTCAGACTGCATTAAAGACAACGAGCTAAATGCTGAACCGCATTCTCGTCCTAGGATGCGGTCCTTTATTTTGAATACATTTTAATCAGTAGCTGCTTCGGACGGAGGCCCTGCTATCAGATTATCAGATGTAAATAAATCAGCTTATATTTATCGCACTTTGTAAATAAATTTACAAGTGCAATAATATGTAACACGCAAAATCCCTCAATTTACTGATTTTAAAATCTGGTTTTGTCTGTTTACATACATTACAGACTTCCGACAATTATGCAACTTAATTAGCACCTTGCCAAGGCATATTATGGCTCGTAATGCTGTAATATATGGCTTGCGACGTTGTTTGTGCGCGCGGTGAACTTTGGCTTTATGGAAGCTACAGAAGTATATTAAAACACAAATTCTAACCATTCAGTGCATTACCGAAGCACAAAAACGATAAATTTTTAAAAGAAAGCTTATAACGTGAAATTTGTCGCTAATGAAATAAGAGCACGCTAAGCATAAACCAGAACATGAAGCGCAAAAAAGCATTCGATTAGGCTAAAATGATATAACCCTACTATTTCCTTTACAAGCCTTCTACTAAGGAACTGAATACATTTCTAGGAGTATTTCTGTGTAACACATTCTGCGCTTCTTCTCTAAAGTTGTAACATTGCAAATGTTTAATCGAATGTTGAACCAAATCCAATGCGATTGAACGAAATTCCGGCAAACGTTTCAACGAACGGTAAATCAAACCGTTGAACGCTTTTGGACCAATTTTCGAACGATTTTTCCTAAGCGTTCGAACGGGCAATTTCGAACGATGAACGATCTCGAAAATCGTTTCAACGAACGCTTGAAGCGTTTGAACGGCAAACGAACGGATAACGAACGATATTTTTGAACGAACGAAATAGCGTAAACGTATGTTTTCCCGTGGAAGGTCACATATGTTAATGTAGTCTTTACATATGTGATGTCAACAGTTATTTAACACAAATGTTCGCCTATACTCGCGCGATTCTTTGACGTTCATATGGTAACCGTATTTCTTGTTTCGCATAGGTGGCTTGTTTGAGTAAAAACGAGCTAGTACACTGGCTAGTACACTGTTGGCTTGTTCTCCCTGGATTTCCTGTTTTACTTGCTCTCATAGATATTTAATGGAATATTTTTCCATAATCGCGGGTTAGGACACGCAGTCAGCAATCGGGCCATCGGGCCTAATAGTGCCATATAAGGCCACATAGGGCCCAAACGGGCCTATGAGCATATGCTCATAAATGTTCATGAAAAGATGCTCATCTGCTCAATGAGATATTTCAGGCCCAAGCTCTTCAAAGGGAGGAAAAAGGGGGTATGGCGAATGCAAAAATGTATGCATTTTTAGAGGGAAATATATATTGGTGTTATGGACAACGCGATGCTTGGAGCATAAATTAAGACACGGATTAACGCTTGTAACAATATAATAAAGTAGAACAATTTTACAAATATTTTAAACATATTGTCCGGGCACTACACTGTTTTCTTGTTTAGATCGTTTGACTTTGTCTTCCTTAAGCAAGAGTTTGCGTTGACAAGCCCGGACTTTTCCGGGGCTAATACGGGGCTAATAAAATACCTGACCCACGAAAAAATGAGCCAATTATTATTAGGAATTTGTTGAGCAATCATCTTAATATGCGTCGCACGCGTAGGAACTGTCCTGTATATGGCTGTGGTAGTATAAATTTAGCAAGGTTAGCAAATCATCTCGACCAAGTACACGGTATGAGCACAGAGGAATACTGCGCACTGCGCAAAAGGTGAAGTCCGCCATGTTTTTTGCTTCGAAAAGATGGCGGCGAAGTTACCGAAAAATGACGAACCAGTCCTCCAGGAATTATAATATAGCTCAGTGTTTTGCACCCAAAGTTCTTACTGCAGATATATGTGGGAACATCTAAGGTCAACAAGTCCCACAGTTAGTTGAAGTAGAGTAGTACATGAACTGAAATACATCTCCAATATTACTCCTATAGCTTCGACGATGTCCGGAATGCACTATCACTGTAACCTATGCATTAACTTTACATGTCAAACTCTTCGCTCGTTGATCAATCATCTCGGTCGGGTTCACAAGAGTGATCGGGATTTCCATGCGCTATGTGGCATTAATGAATGTCCACGTACGTACACGAACTATTTCTCTCTGCGAAACCATTTTGTCAACAAGCATAGTCAAGTACTTCAAGCAGAGGAAGTTGTTGAACGAGATCCACGTGCCAACAACGAGGGAGATGAACTTGACGTTTATAATGGTAAAAACGATGACGATGATTTTTTCGTCTTTGTTTGCGAGGTCGAGAGTAATCAACGATCAAATGTATTGGGCTTAATCAAGGTCAAAGAGGAAGGCAAGGTACCCCAAACGATTGTCAATTCGATGGTGCAACATACCACCCAGATTGTCGAGAACAGCGTCGATGCACTTCAGTCTGGTCTCTAGCAATGTTTATCGAATGCGGGTTTGTTTACCAAAATACGCATAAGTTTGTTTACCAAAAGTTGTTCAGTACAGTCTGTATATATATATATATATATATATATATATATATATATATATATATATATATATATATATATATATATATATATATATATATATATATATATAGTTGTTTCAACTCTAAGGGTAGTTTCGACTGGGGTCAAAACGACTCTACAATAGAGTCTTGTTACTCTACCAAAAGGTAATGTTACTCTTCGAAGGAGTCAATTTGACTCTAATTGCAAAGAGTAACCGAACTACGAAAATTACCGTTTCGTCTAATTTATAATTATGCAAACGTTGTTTTGTTGATTTTACTGGTTGCGCCCAATCACACTGATCAGTGATCACACACGGCAATAATTTTCAATTTCACTGAGGCAAACAGTTATACAGTATTTATATAATCATGCACATGCACAGCAAAATCGAGAATTCTTACCTAGAATAATGTTCTTGAGAAATTCTTATTTTAAGCAAAAGTTTGCTCAAAATAAGTAAAAGGGGATAAATTATTCTTATCAAGAATGAATTTTACTTGAATAAGTAAACTTTTTTTAAGCAAGAATAACCGTTTCTTAAAACAAGTAAATGTTCTAGCTTGTATTCTAACTAATAATTTTGGTATTCTTAAAACAAGGAAAGCGTCTTTGTGGATTCTTGGCAAGAAACATTGTTAACTTAAAACCGGCAATCAAAAACGCTTGTTGCCAATTCACTTGCCAAGAATACTAATTTCAAACAACCAATTTATTTCAAACAACCAAGAATATTTTTACATTCTTACTAAGTAACATTTAATAACCGAGCAAAGATTCGCCAGTTTCGTTTCATATGCAGACGAAATGAAGGTTTTAATGCCTATTTAAGCATTCTGAATGGACGTAGTTCGTTTCTTATGAAAATATATATTTTAAACTTCGCTAACTGCCAACTGGCGGAAAGAACTGTGGATTATTGTGGATTACTGTGGATAGGATTTACTGGACATTATGTCGCAAAATTTCCTGCAGAAGATTGCGCAGATTGTTTTAAAAGTGGCTGGGAATCTCAGTCTTCTAAGAGGTAAGGATTTAAAATTATACGCGCAAACAGACGAAAGCTATTTTTGAATTTGCCGCGTAAACAGTAAACGTATTTATAAACAATAAACAGATATATTCACAGTTTTAATACTCATCATTCCCGATAAATGAACGACGTTTATATAAATATATTATAACGTGGTTATACTATAGGCACTATGCCATAAAAAGTGTACGTGATATTGACGTTAGCTATAAAACCATGGTCAAATTTTAGCTGAAACATTTGTACTCAATCTTAGGATCATGATATACTGAATCTTGGTTACTGGATATACATAAGTTTTGATTAAGAATTAGGATGAAATAACTGTTATATTGCCTTTTAAATTTTTTTATATGCATTCTTACACTGTAAATCTCGGAGTGTTGGCACAACACCGAAATCGGTGTAAAATCTTGCAGCAATATGAACACTAATATGGTGTTTATTTACGCTATATTTTGGGTTAATTTACACTATTCATGGGTAGAATTTATGCAGCTATGGGTACACTATGGCGACGTAAATATACACCATTAGCGTAAACTAACACCTCTATAGGTTTTCCTACACCTATTTCGCGTAAAAACGCTTGCAGCAATATGAACACCAACTTCGTGTATAAATACACCGCGAGAGTAAACTTACCCCTCCCTAGGTTTTTCTACGCCTATTTAGTGTAAACGTGCTTGCAGCAATATGGACACCGACCTAGTGTATAAATACACCGCGAGGGTAAACTTACCCCTCCAAAGGTTTTTCTACGCCTATTTAGTGTAAACGTGCTTGCAGTAATATAGACACCGATCTGGTGTATAAATACACCGCGAGGGTAAACTTACCCTTCCAAAGGGTTTTCTACGCCTATTTAGTGTAAATATGCTTTCAGTAATATAGACACCGATCTGGTGTATAAGTACACCAAAAGAATAAAAATGCTCTTCTAAACAATGGCCCGGTGCCACGAAATGAATTAATTCTAGTGCAGTGGTAAGGTAAAAACATATTTATTTCTATATGACAGAATATATTACATTATATTATATTGTACATAACAAATTTACAAACCAGCTATATAACATGGACTTATGCCTAATACTTCATGTTCACTGTTCCAGTTCATTTAAGAATAATAAAACTTTGGTTGGCACTCTTACCCGGTCAAAAATATTTAGAACGGTACGTTGTAAAAAAAGGAACGTGTTAAAACACTGTTTCGGGTACTCTAAATTACAAACATAATACAAAAACAAAAGGGACGATACTGCTGAAAAAATGTTATCTGTTTCCAAACAAACTTGTTTTTCCCCTGCAACAAACATTTTGTTCATTATGTGACCATCACTGTCCTCCACGAAGATGATGAATGGGCTGATGGGGCTGGCAGCTTTCTTCAACAATACCTCTGGGTTTTCTGCTGTCTACATTTGAAATAAATTTTTTTTTAAAAAATCATAACAAAGTCTTCATATTAAAACTATTCACGATTGACCACTTAACAGACCACTAGCTTACACTTATCATGACAATACATTTTTCCAAAAGGTGGTGTAATAACATTGATAAGCATTGACAAGGTACTAAAGTATATTATACATACCTGATAAAGGAAATTTTCTGGATGTGGATTACTTTTTGTTTTCCTTTCCAAAAGGTGTGGCAAGGTACAAAGTGCCACAACAACTTTCTCATCTAGGAACAAAGAAAAAATTACATAATTAATTTCAATTATTGCTCTGACTGTGTTAATAAAGAAGGAGAATAATCACAATAGGGTGTATATATTGAAACCACACACAGCATAATTAACTTTTGATAGTGAAAATATATTCATTTAAATGAGTATCAATGGGATTACCATCTGTCAATCTGTTCTCCTCATCCAGTTCATCCTCATTTTGTACGCAAGCTTGAACCAGTTCTTCAAGTTGAGGGAGTTTCTTCTTGCTGGCAGCTTTCAAAATCTTAGGTGCAAGCTCACGTAAGTTTGTAACAACCAAATCTTTAACACTACTGCCAGACACCAATCTTTCATACTCATCTTGCAACTATAAAAAATCAATATAAGTTATAAGAGTAATTTAAAAGTAACTTATCAATCATATTACCCAGTGCCGGATTATATGTTTATGCACAGATATTACTAACTATATAATACTAACCTGATCATGTTCAAATAAAAAAGGGTATTTCGCATCAATTTCATTAAGGGAACACTTTCCAGCATTTATGTACTTTCTTCTGAAGGAGAAAGTCAGTTGCATTTTCTGCTTAACGACTTCCATGTTTGGGTGCTTTTTTCGGTACTCCTTCTGCATCCATTGAACATGGGCTTTGTTAGAATGTAGGTCCTCACCATCAACAGCAGGAGGTTCCCAATTTATTATTCCCCTTCGGCTGCTTCCTGGCACCTTAGCTGTCAAATCCGAGCCTTCAATTGACTTTCTTTTTCTTGCTAGCACAACTGGATCACTCCTTTCATGCCTTAATTCATTTTTAACTTTATCGCCTAACTGACGATACCAGGTTTCCTAAGGAAAAATTATATGGTCTCAGTATTTTTCATTAATACATGGTTTCAGTATTAACATACAAAGCAACAGTGTTTTCCCCTTCACATGTAAATCATCTGGCATCAGATATCAGGCCATGATGGGATTTCAATAAGGCTTGCGAAATAATATTGGTACATGAACTTTTCACAATCATAGTCCAATACATAATAAGCCACAGGAAATGTTAAAAAAGAGCAAACAAATAATTGTGTCGATTTATACACATACCTTGGTATTGGCGAAGAACAACGAGGCGAATCTTGATCTTTAGAGTTATTTGGGCATTCTAAATCCCAAGGCAAACGTGACAAGCTACCACTGTTGCCGCTTTCAACAGACTCAGAATCACTCCTAACCATCTTCTTAATAACGCCTAAAAGCTTCATTTTTGGCCCAACTTTGTCGACAAGAGACTCGAGTGCATTCTCAGATAAAAGAGCGAGCGCTTCACCGTCAACATCCTCTTCTAGTTTCACAAATACAAATACAAACAGGAATTTATATTGTGACGAGTGATATGAACGCTAATATAATCAATCGGATCAACAAATAAACTAAATTGAGAATCTAAATAAGTAAAAGTGAACTAGCTCTGTAGGCTATAAACAACGATTAGCTTGGAGTATTTATCTCTATAATAAAACTCACCGATAAATTTATCACTAAACGTTTCAAATCCATTGAGTTTAAGCCATTCCGATACTTCTTCGCACGAATAAGCGATGGATGGGACCTTATCCATTATCGGAATTTCAAAAATTTTGTGATGCCGATATAAATAACTATGTTTCAACTTTCAACTGTCAAGAGTCAACACGTGTTGTATATAATCACTTATCTGTGTATATAACCCCAGTGTTTGTTTGTAAATAGGTTTGCAGTAATCACTATTGGTTTGAATCGCTTATTGGTCGGATTGTCTGCATTGTCTGAAACGTGATTGGTTTAGAATAGTGCGTTACGATTGGTCAAAGAAAATATCAACTTATAATTATCCTCTATTCAGCTGAAGCTCTGGCTTACAATATTTTTTAATTAAAATACTTTATTATCGTAACAATTTGGAACAAAAATGCCCTAGAAAATCGCAAGGTATTTAGGATGCTTTGTGACGTCGAACATATTATATTACACGAACATTATTATATACACAGCATAATCTTGTATCCACCGGCCCACTCATCCATCCTCAGTGAGGGTCATGTTTTCGAAAGTGGAAGCACTGTTATTGTGTTTTTCGAACTTTTGGCATAGATGCAAATATTATTTTAATTTTTTATATTATTTTTATACCAGCATGGTTGGATAATGGCGAGTAGTTTTCTTTGTCCAAAACCGGAGTGTTTTCATCTTTCCTTTACTACATTCAATCGTTTTTTAAACCACCTACGCGATAATCACATTCATGAGCCAGGGTTCAAAATAAAATGTCCAGTGCAGTCATGCTTTCGCTCATATTCTGTTCTCTCCTCTCTAACTTCGCATGTTTCCCGTAAACATGGAAAGGAAAAAGTAATAAATGATGATGTTGGTTCAAGAATTCCCGAAAACGATGCACTAAACCGATTGGATAATACAATCGAATGTATACCGAAGACACCCAAGACAGGAGAGGCTTTCTCAAAGAGACATTTAGCTTTATTTGCCCTAAAGACGCAAGAATTAAATCAACTAACTGACAGTACAACAAACAAGGTGATAGATAATACAACAGAATTACTCCAACAACACGAGGCCCATGTTAAAGAAAAGATTAGACTGTGTTTGGATAAAAGTGGGATTAAAATCAGTGATATTGATGGATTGGGAGTTGTCATGAACTTGGAACAAACACCCAACATGGAATTCCTGAAATCCACTAAGAATAGGAACAATTATATATCTCAAGAATTTAAGATAGTGGTATGTATATAGTAATGTATTTTTATGTATGGTTGTAAACAATGTCTAACAATGTCTGATTAGTTTATATTAAATGCTGAGTGCATCCTTATCTTACTTATATTTAGAATCCAATTGAGATAGTCCTTGGGGAGAAATATATGTATGATGAGAATACAACGAATGGTTCATCGAAAGTGAAAGTGCATTCATTCCAGTACATATCATTCATCCAGGTCCTTCAACAGCTGCTAAATCAAATTGATGTTTACTCACAGGTCATTATTCATATAACAACTATAAGTGTCCTGGAAATTTATAATATGACTACCATAATAATATGACTACCATATTATGATATAATATAATTATTTTAATTGATATTTTTTTTAGATTGAAAATTCTCATAGAAGTGTTGATGGGAAAATGAGGGACCTTTGTGATGGTGCTGATTTTGGAGTGGGCAAACATCCACTTTTTTCCTTAAATTATAAGGCTATCCAATTAATTTTATATTATGATGACTTCGAAGTTTCCAATCCACTAGGATCAAAAGCTGTTGTACATAAAATTGGTAGGTTTTTTTATTGTCACAAGATCAACAACTTTGCAATATTGGACTTTGATAGTTCAATTGGATTACTTTTTAAAAAAACACTGATCTGTCAATAAACATTTTCATTTTTATTTACATACTTGCAGGTGCCTTCTATTGGGTGTTAGGAAATTTCCATCCCAAGTATAGATCATGCCTAAAAAATTTGAATCTTTTGATTCTTTGTCCAGTCAAGTGGATTAAGATGTATGGTATGGATAAAGTCCTCAGGCCATTCATGAGTGACCTTGCTATGCTTGAATCAGTAAGTAATGAATTAATACAATACATTTTATTGTGAATATCACCAATTATCAATATATTCAAGATTCCCTATTAAAGAATTTGCCTCAAGCTTGCCAAGAAATATGAGTTATAAATCTAATGCATCTCAAAATGTAATTTTGCTACTTTTTTCAGGAACATGGCGTACAACTCAATATAGCAAATCAAATTATTCCAATTAAAGGAACATTAAGTGTAGTAATTGCAGATAACCTTGGTAGCAATTCAATTGGAGGTTTCATGGAGAGTTTCAGTGCAAATCGGCCGTGTAGGTTCTGTCTGGGCACATCGGTGGAATTTCAAGAAAGGGTAATTTATTAATCATATCACAAATTGCAATGCTACTAAAATATTGTGAATCATGGTATACCAGTACACAGTTTTTTGTAGGAAATGCTATTGATATCATGAGAAAACATTCATTTAACTTACTCAGCTTTTTTGCTTTCATGAGATTTTAATGGGTGTTAATCAATGTTTGTTAATGTATGTTGTTCAGATTTGATTATACCAACCCCAGTATAATATCCAATTATTTAAATTTCCAGTTTTCTGAAGAATTATTCACGATGAGATCCCGAGAAAATTATGCCAGGCAGGTGGATTTGGTTTCCACTGATCCAGAATCAGCTTCTGTATATGGTGTAAAAAAGAACTCAGCCCTAAATGCTTCTAAATATTTCCATGTTGTTGATGGACTTCCTTCTGATATCATGCATGATATCTTAGAAGGTGTACTTCCTTTCCAAATTAAAGTGATGTTGAGAAAATTCATCATGGTGGATAAATTTTTCACACTTGATCAGTTCAACCACGCGCTTTCAGCATTCCCATATGGTGTTTGTGACATCAAGAACAAACCAAGCTTGGTAAAGAATGTCAATCTTAGTGATTACCATTTACGCCAATCAGGTATTTAACTATTTATTTAAGAGTTGCCTTAAACCTGAGGATGACTACATCAACCACAGGTCCCAAGTTCCCATAGTTCTTTTAAAAGTTCTTATAGAATCAGTGTTTAGTCAATGGTTTTGACATAATGCTAGCACTAATTGAGTTATATTTCAGCATCACAAATGTGGTGTCTTTCTAGAATCCTGCCATTTTTGGTTCACAAATGGATACCAGAAGGAAATGATGACTGGGAATTGTTCACTGATTTAATGCATATTGTTGATATATTGTTTGCCCCAGTGATTGAGAAAGGTACTACACTCTATCTTCGGCTCATAATCAGCGAGTATCTGGAACAGTTTAAAAGGCTCTATCCTGAAAGAAAACTTATTCCAAAACAGCATTTCATGGTTCATTACCCAAACCAAATTCTAAGGTATGTCTATATTGATCTGGTTCTCACAGGTGGTGGCTTCAATGCTGAACACCCCAGTACATTTGATAATTTTAATTATTTATTTTATATATTTTAGATATGGACCCCTTGTGCGCAACTGGTGCATGCGCTTTGAGGCTAAGCATCATTATTTTAAGCTTTTGGCGCAGACTGTAGGTTGCTTCAAGAATATAGCAAAGACATTAGCTACCAGGCACCAACGGCTTCAGTGTTACTGGCTTAGTGACAGTGATGGCTATTTAAGGAGTGATACTGAGGTTGGACCAGGTTAGTGAACAACAAAAGTGCATACTGGATATTAGCTGGAATTTTGTAATGGTTTTTAGGATGTTAAATGTTGTTATAAGTATCCTTTATTTCTACTTCATGTATTTATTAATATTCTGCTTAGGTAAAGTTTTTTATGTGAAGGATCTGGAAGAGAAAGAATGCACCTCACTGTGCCAGTTGGGCAACAATTTGGATCAGAATTCAACTGTGACACTGTAAGTTTGTTCTTATATATGGTAAAAATTATTTAAAACTGGACTGAAAAGTGAAAACTATATTCATATTCTAGGTTGAATTGGGTGAAAGTCAATGGTTACAAGTACAAAAAGAATATGATCATAGTCTATCAGCAATTAATTTTTCCTGTGTTTCTTTTTATACATAATGTTTTTTTTATGCCAAACATGGATGTTATGTTTTCTTGCAAGAAAGTAAATACAGTTGCTTTTAGCAGGCACATTCATTGCTATGAGGTTGAAGTTTTGGACGAATTTGTGCCCTTATTATTTTCTGGGATGCTAGATCATCATCCTCTAGATCTTTATACCATTATTGTAAATAGAGAATCAAAACACTTTGTAAGAATGAAGTACGACCTATCTGATGCTGAACAATAGTATACATATGTTAAAGAAATTATTAAACATATTAAAGAAATTCAGTAAATAAATGAATTGTCTGACCCATGATACTGTGCCTGCCTGGAAACATTTAACGAAAAAACTGCATGTGCATGCCTGCTTAGGAACATTTGACGAAAACACGTTTTCGTACCTGGTATACAAATTGTTGTGACCCAGGGTCTATTGGTCTCTTAGTATGTAGTCAATTCCCATTCGTTTGTATCTATACAACCATATATACTCTTTTATTTTGCAACAAATCAAGCATTTTCCGTCGCGGTCTTAATTTATAAGGCATTGAATTTTGTACACAATTTAGATGTAAGTTTACGCTCTTCAAGTGCAATTTTGAAAACTCATATCGGGTAAATATACACCGTAGACGGTAAATTTACAACGCTCTCGGTGTTTAATAACCTTGCTTTTACTTACACCAGATCACGGTACATTCACGTTTTTTTGGTGTATTAATACAAAAACCAAAGTGTAGATATACACTTATCGAGTGTAAGCATATCTTACACTAAATAGGTGTATACTAACGCAACCGTTCAGTGTAATATAACCTGAGCAGTAGGTAAATGTATGCCATTTTTAGGTAAAAAAACACCAAATTTGGTGTAACCTAGGTTTGTTTGTTTTTACACCGAGAAAGTGTTACAGAAACGCTAGCATAGTGTAGAGTTACGCTTTTTAAGTGTATTGCTACACTCCAATGGTGTTTGACTTGGCAAAACACCTAATCGGTGTTATCCTACACCAGTTTCGTGTTGGCGTAACACTGCGAAATTTACAGTGTAGATGGTGGATTAACAAGTGGTGATGTTTATGTCTAAACCTGTAATGAAAGAGGTCTCATTGGAAAGTAATATCTGTGGTAAGTAATGCATTATAAGGAATTGTGCAATGCTGTTAGATTATTCACCTAAGCATATGGCTTAGTTTTTAATGTATAATATAATATACCGGTAATTATATACTTATTGACCAATTGATTATATACTTATTTAGACTTATGACTACCCTTTATGCCTAATTTTATATCTGTCAGAGCATGCAAAACTGTGCATAGCATCCCCAATCATATATTTCACACATATTATGCACTGCTTAGTTTCTTTAACATTTGTTATCTTAACTCTGATTTCTCAAGTATGCTTGCTTTTTTGTTTTATTAGGAACATGGATTGAGGTAGTGAGCAAGAAATTCAGTGGAAAATTTGCTATACCAATGGTTAATTGGACCCAGAGTGTTTCAGCACTTAATTTTCAAGGAAAAAAATACTCCAGGTGATCTTATAAATATTTTCATGTTTGGCATGATATACAAAATTTAAGAACAGCTGGTCAATAATCAAAGGGAAACATTGCTCAGGAATGAATGACTTTAGCTTATGTGTAATAATTGAAGACATGCAGTGAGTTTGCATAGATGTGTTTGTCTTCTTCCATGAATATTTTTATTCAACTACTTCTGGGTTCATACAAGGGCTTAATTTCATTATCTGAGCTCTATCGGATACTTTCCTAAACTTGCCAATTGGCAATTTTTAATTAAGTCCTTGAAAGACTTGTTTATTTGAGCAAGGTATTGCACAAACCTAGCAGTACTTTGAAAAAACTATTTCTGTCAGATGTAAATGTATGGCATTTATATATTTAGTATGGCCACTAAATAAGTAGTTTTAATATTTTGAACTAAAATAATGTATAAGAATAATGTATCTGTGATGTTTTCTTTTGTCTAAAATTTTGTACTTATTATAAGTAAAATTATTCTTGTTTTAAGTAGTTTTTTTCTTATTTGTAACATTCTAGGTAAGAATTGTGTGAGTAGGTTCCTTAATATACAATAATAATTTTGCTTATTTCAAGCAATGTGTTACTTAAAACGAGTATTTTTTCTTTAGAAAATTCTTGTTGCAAGAATTGTTTTTCTTAAAATGAGATTCCAGGTAAGAATAATATTCTTGCCTGGATTCTTGCCAAGAATAATATTCTTACTATACTGACAAGAACAATTTTACTTGTTTGTATTTTTTTTCTTAAAATAAGACTCACGATTTTGCTGTGTGCATGTATTATGGATTTGGCTTGATTTACATGAAATTAGGTTATAAATTATACAGGGACTGAAAAGCGTAAACATGCAGTGCTTCCACTTCCAACTCTAGGCCTTTATGTAATGTGATTTATTTACGCATAGATATATTGCCAGGCATGAATTTTGCATACCCTTTCCGCAGCTCAGTTTTCTGAGCATCAATAATGACACATTAAATTTTACGCCGTTTTGGGATAATTTTGGCTAGGAGTAATGGTTCTCCTAGCCGCTTTATTTCTGTTAAACAAAACGATATTTATTAATACATTGCATTAAAATTCCAAATAGTTACGCTCAGAAAAGGGTGGAGGCAAATTACCGCCAGCACCTGTAGATACGGCCTACGACCATCACTAATTGAGATATAACGTTCCTCTCTCTATATATATCAGCTACGGTAAATCGTCCAATGTACATAATTGTTAGCGGAGGCTTTGGGGAGGAGGTGGGTTCAACTTTAAAGGAGATCTGTCTTTCGCGATGTCACGCTTAAACTGACCGTTTATGGTTTGGGTATTCGGTCTTTGTTAGTTTTCGATTTGCTGCTGGCCATTGACCACCTTTCCCATATTGCGTGCCATCCATTACCTGTCGGTCTTTTAGATAGGACGCAAAGCCCATACTATAAGATTTTTAATTATCGTCGGCATGGCGTATCCCCTTGGGGGTACACCTTGCCTTAATAGTCTATTTATAAAATCACATTACATAAATTTCTTATTTCCTTCGTAAATATTTTGTTTTATGTAATGTGATTTATTTACGCATAGATATATTGCCAGGCATGAATTTTGCATACTCTTTCCGCAGCTCAGTTTTCTGAGCATCAATAATGACACATTAAATTTTACGCCGTTTTGGGATAATTTTGGCTAGGAGTAATGGTTCTCCTAGCCGCTTTATTTCTGTTAAACAAAAGATATTTATTAATACATTGCATTAAAATTCCAAATAGTTACGCTCAGAAAAGGGTGGAGGCAAATTACCGCCAAAACAACGAAGCAAAGCAAGTTGACCCCACCCCAAGGAAAGGGATGCATGCAGAAAGTTTCAGAAAGTTTCGTAATATATTAATACAGGATCAGCGGTCTGCGCGACCGTATAAACGAACATGGGCAAAAAGGCACTTACAAAGCCCGTTAAAAGGCATAGATTATCGCCCTTGCTGATAATCTACACTTAACTGATATTAGTTTAGCAGAGTCACAATATTACCGCGCCCAGAAGAAGCTTCTCCATCACCCTGTTATAAGCACTTTATTTCCCCCCCCGGAATGCAAACGATCGCGCTTGCTGACCATGTGCAAGCTGAAGAAGAAATAAAATAACCGCACAATTCGAGCAGAAAACTCCCCGCACGTTTTACGCTCTAAATTTCATCCAAACTATGTTGATAGGGAAGAAAAACGTATATATTTGAGGAATGCGTACGATTTCCAACGCCCCATAGTTCGAATTTGGGCATCAGAGTGCCCGTGTTCAGCTGCGTGGGAAGCGGCGCCTATTCGAAATGAATGAGACTTATATTTGGAAGTATCGAGTCCACAGAAGCGGAAAGCCTTTTTAAGAAGATTGGCAAACTCGTCACACGAGACTGGAATGCCCAGTTGTGATAGAAAAATAGCTCCGGGCGGGGTACCTCGCAAAATCATGTACTCCTCTAATAAGCGAACAGGACAGCATGCCGTTTGCCTGTAAATTTCCAAACTGAAAGGTCTACTGTTATAATTGTGCTTGAAGTCCTCGAAAGTCAACCTTATGCCTGCAACCCGGCCATCATCGGGAGATATTTTGGAGAGTTGTCGCAATTGAAGGGGTTCGTTATTTGACTTCTTAGTTATTTCTCCAATTCTCAGGAACGCGAAAAATGCTAAAGAGCACATTGCCCGGAATTGACATATTTGGTACGGTGACCCAGCAATATGAGGCGCAGCCTCAATAAGACGATTGAGAATTGGTAAAGTTATAGGCAACCTACTATCTAAGCGGAAGCCTTTCTTACCATACCCCTTTAAGATTTGCGTTACGTAGAAAACTCTCGTTAGATCCGGTAGATCGGACATGCGATGAGTATAACCAAGTGCAGATACATAAGTGTTAACTGTTGAAGAGGCGTACTTGAGGTCAAATAAGTACGCTATGAATAACGCAACGACTGAGGGCGACAAAGGCAAAGTGAACGATCCCTCATTAAAAATTGCCACATGAAATTGCGTAAAAAGTGCCCATGCCCGTTTATAAGTCGGCACTGAAGAAGGTTGCAAGCTACTTTGAGCTAATTGAGAAACTATAGTCGCCAATTTTCCGGCAGCAGGTGAAAGGGAATAGGCGTTGGAGCTCGATGCATGTCGGCCGGCGCCAATTGTGAAAATTTTGGAGCTGTAAACGAGACAAACAATCAGCTAGGACATTTTGTTTACCCGGTATATGCTTTGCTTTGAAAAAATATTGTATTCTAAACAAACTAAAACCATCCGGCGAACGAGTGTCATGATATAAGAATCCTTTGATGTTTGCTTATTAATAACAGACACCAAAGCTTCATTATCCGTGAGAAACAAAATACAATGATTGCGCATTTTTGATCCCCATAAACACAGGCTGAGGACAATCGGATATAGCTCTAGAACGGCAATATTGTAACTCCGCCAGTCAGTTGGCCATGCGCCATAGCACCAGTCGCAACCAAACAGGGCCCCAAAACCAATACTACCCGAAGCGTCAGTATATAAATTCAAATGGGAGTTATTACGCCAATGGTTGTGCAAAAAGAATGATTTGCCGTTGAAATTCGACAGAAACGTTTGCCAGACACGAAGATCATGTTTCACACTTTGCGTTAAGCGAATAAAGAAATGAGGGTGTGAAATGCCACGCGTTAGATCAATTAAGCGTCGCAGGAATGCGCGACCTGACGCATAATGACCGAACATGCGAAATTAAGTAATCCAATTAAGGACTGAAGTTCTTTGAGTGTAACCTTTTACGAATTAAAAAGCGTGCGATAGATTGAACACATTTCTCGATTTTATCCATCGGCAATCGGGCCTGGAATTGTATTGTATCTAATTCAATCCCAGCGAACGTTAAGGTTGTTGAGGGACCCATGGTTTTTCCCGGTGCTATAGGCACGCCAATGAAATCACAAAGAGCAATGAATACTTGTAAGTTTGTTTTACAAGCAGAATAATCCGGTGCAACAAACAGGAAGTCGTCGAGCAAATGAAGGAGTTTGCCGATGTTAAGCCTTTCCCTAGCGATCCATTCGATAGCCGCACTAAAAATCTCAAAAGTGCGACACGAACTGGAGCAACCCATTGGCATTGCCCGGTCGTAATAATACAAACTCCGCCATTTTATGCCTAAGAGGTGATAATCCGCTGGGCTGATAGGAATGATTCGAAAAGCATTTTTTATATCTGTTTTCGCCAGGAAACAACCCGGCCCGCTTTTTTAATAAGTTGAATAGCGTCGTCAACGATAGCGTACCGCACAGATGTTTCGAAATCGGTATACCATCATTAACCGATGCTCCCTTTGGAAACGATAAATGATGAATCATGCGAAAATCACCCGGTTGTTTTTTAGGAACCAGGCCCAAAGGCGAAACACGAAAATTTGGAAAGGCGGATAATTAAATGGCCCAGCAAGGCGAGATGCCTCTAACTCTTTCGTTAATTTTTGGTCAACCGCTTCTGGTTTGTCAAGAGCAGACCGTAAATTTATTGCTTCAAACGACTGTTCTGTGCCAGAGAAATGAATGCGAAAACCCGAAGTAAATCCGGAAATTAGTGTATCAACAATACTTGGATTATAACCTTCTAACAATATTTGTAAATTATGAAGTTTTACGGGTGTTGCAACGGACGTTGTTGAAATAGGCCTAGGCGATCGATCAGTGGGAGATGCACGAAATTACAATTCACGGCACGGTGCGATCCGTTGCATTTAAAACAAATGTGCTTGAAATCACAACCGGCACAAAACGTTCCGCGATGAAACTTAAAACAATATCCCCGAGGAACAGACACTTTTGAAGGGTGGCGCGTATGATTGCTGCCTTGCGTGTTCGGCTTAGAAGTAGTGGGATATTGACATTTCAACCATAACTCCCAGTGAACAGTCGCCCAGGGAACCGCGTGG